CCACGCTCTTCGAGCCAACGGGCTGGGTTGTGCGAGCTGTTGTTCTATCCCGAGGACGAAGACGACGCCTCCCACTACGTGGAGGTGGTGCGGCCGTCACCGAGGGTCGTTACGAAGGTGCCGAAGACCGGCTTGGTGGAAGTAGTTACCGTGGAGCTGCCTGGTGGGTTTGGCGTCTCCCACGATGACGTAAGAGCCGATGTCCATGTCGTGGTCGAGGATGGCCGGCGGGTCGTGTGCGCCGTTGGAAACTTTGAGGCACTCTCGAGTGGGTACATTGAGTGCTTACCGTCTCGGATGCTGGCCGACACTGGTGCGACTCTGAGTCTCGTGGACAGTCGAGTATTGAAGCGATTGGGCCGGTCCCAGGAGACGCTGGAGCCGTACGGCGGCCAAGTCAAGAGCTCGTCGGGACACCCTCTCAAGATACGGGGATGGATCGGTCTCTCGCTGCGACTGGGAACTGTGGAGGTCTCCCTTAGTGTGCTGGTAGCTGACAAGTTGCACGTCGACGCCATTTTGGAGGTGGACGCCTTGGGTGCTTTTGGGGCGGTGATCGATGTCGCCGAACGAAGGATGACGCTCAAGGATACCGGTGAGGAGCTACCGCTCGGGTACACGGTGGTGCAGGACGTCTACATGGCTCAGATGGCCGCCTCGATACGCCTGCCTCCGCGAGGCCAAGCTCTAGTGATGGCCAACGTCGTCGGCGACGCTGCTGACAATACTACGGTCCTGGTGGAGAGCACCGTTGATCTCTCGCCTACTCTGTGTGTCGCGCGGACCTTGTGCACGGTGGAAAACGGCCAGGTCCTAGTCGAGGTGTGCAATGCTTCGTCCGACGTGAGTTGGGTCAAGAAGGGCTTCACGGTCGCTTGCGTGTCCGTGATTCCTGAGTCGGCGTTTGGCCCTCCCTCGCCTTCCGTGCCTACCGGCGCGGCAGTCGAGTCGACGGAGTCCCAAGAAGCGAGAGTGTCGTCGGCCTCGGGGAACGTTGAGTTAGTGGAGCTCGAGAAGATCGAGAGCCCCGAGCCGACGGTGCCGCCCGACAAGGAAGAGAAGGGCGAGGCGGATTTCTCACAGTCCAAGTTGACGGACGAACAGATTGAACTGTTCCGCGAGGAGCTGATCCGCTTCGACGACTTATTCGTCACGTCGTCCATGAAACCTGGGAGGACAGACCGACTCAAGTTTGAGATAGACACCGGGGATAATAATCCCATAAAGCAGCCGCCCTACCGTGTGTCGATGGCGGAAGGGGAAGTCATGGAGACTGAAGTGCAGCAATACCTGGATCTCGGGTTGATCAGGCCGTCGAACAGTCCTTGGGCTAGTCCCGTCCTGATGATCCGGAAGCCGGACGGAGGAATTCGCTTTTGTATTGATTACCGGAAGCTTAATGCTGTGACGGTGACGGATTGCTATCCTATGCCACTGATTGACGATATCCTGGATGTATTAGGAGGTGCGCAGATCTTCTCTACGATGGACATCGCGTCCGGTTACTGGAACGTGCCGATGGACGAGGGCAGCGTGGCCAAGACGGCGTTCACGTGTAAGTTTGGCCTGTACGAGTGGCTGGTGATGCCGTTTGGACTCTGTAATGCGGTGCCGGCGTTCGAACGGTTGATGGAGACCGTCTTAGTGGACTTGAAGTGG